ATTTTGGATGACAAAAGTGATCATCCGATCTGTATGAAATTTATATGCATTATTGTCCCCCGCCTTTCGAAGAAAGCAGGGGACTATTAAAATCTGTCTGTCTGTCCGTCCCTCCCTCCGTCCGTCCATCACACTTTTTGGGACACAATAACTCTCTAATTGAGCTAGAATGTTCAAACTTGGTGTATGTATTTATTAGGCCAATGACTTGATGGAGTTCGAAGATGAGCATTTTCTGCTTAGGGCAAGCAGAGATAAGCAATTTGATTGGTTGATGCTTTGGGACACAATAAATTTAGTTGTAATTAAGTGAGAGTGATGAAACTTGGTGTATAGTTTCATTACATCAATACCTTGACTAAGTTTAATAATGAGCATTTTCTGCTCAGGGTAAGCAGAGCGATAAGCAATTTGATTGGTCAAGACTTTGAAACATAATAACTCTCCTTCTAGTTGAGGTAGAATGTTCAAACTTGGTGTAGGTGTTTATTAGGTGAATGCCTTGATGGAGTTCGATGATAAACATTGTCTGCTTACGGTAAGCAGAGATAAGCAATCTGATTGGTTGATGCTTTGTGGACGATAACTTTGGTTTTAATTAAGTGGGAGTGACGAAGCTCCGAGTATAGATTCATTATATCATTACCTTGACTAAGTTTGATGATGAGAATTTTCTGCTTAGGCTAAGGTTTGATTGGTCAAGACTTTGGAACATAACAACTCTGCTTATTGAGGTAAAATGTTTAAACATCTATGTAGATGTGAATTAGGTGAATGTCTTGACTGAGTTCAATGATTAACATTTCGAGCTAAAGCTAAACAGAGGTAAGCAATTTCATTGGTCGATGCTTTGGAACAAGATAACTTTGATTCTATCTGATAGGGAGTGATGAAACTTAGTGTATAGTTGATAATCAGTTTATTGATTGCATGATACTTTTGAAAAAAAATAAATGTGCGATTAATTAATATGTGTCATCTATTTATTTTTTGATTTCGCCAGGGGACATCAGCCTCACTGTTGGCTTGTTTAAATTAGTAAACCGAAAAAGCCTTTAAAATTTCAACAATTTCTGCAGACTACTTCTGGACGATTTAGCTGATGTGGGAATATGTTTCATTGCCTGGCAACCTATCTTTGTATTTATCGTCTACAGGCTGCACCCTCTTTTTATATGCACACATGGAAATGTGGTCGTATATTGCCGTCGCCCCCGTCCGTCCATCATACACAATTTCTTGTGAACACTTTACAGACTACATTAATCATCTGATTGTTTTGAAATTGATATCTGTTGTTTGCATAAGTGAGATGAAGAAGCCTATTTTTTAAATTTCAATAACTTCCGTTAATTTCTTCTGGATTTATGGCCCTTGTTTCACTTTGTTTGCACCTTGTGAACGCTCTAATGACAAAAGTTATCAACCGATCTGTATGAAATTTATATGCATCATTTAAATTGGTAAAACAAAGAATCCTATCGAATTTCAGCGATTTCCGTTAATTACATCTGTAGTTATGGCCCTTGTTTCACTATGTTGCACTTTGTGACGGCTCTAACAACAAAATTTATCAACCAATCTGTATGAAATTTATATGCATCATTTAAATTAGCCAAACAAAGAATCCTTTTGAATTTCAGCAATTTCCGTTAATTACGCCGTGAGTTATGGCCTTTGTTTCACTTTATTGTACCTTGTGAATGCTCTGACGACAAAAGTTATTATCCGATCTGTATGTAATTTATATGTATGGTTTAAATTAGTAAAACGAACAAGCCTATTGAGTTTCAGCAAATTTCCGTTAATTACATCTAGAGTTATGGCCATTGTTTCACTTTGTAGAATCTTGTGAACGCTCGAATGACAAAAGTTATCACCCAATCTGTATGAAATTCATATGCATCATTTAAATTAGTGAAATGAAGAAGCCTATTGAATGTAAGCAATTTCCGTCAATTACTTCTAGAGTTATGGCCCTTGTTTTACTTTGTTGAACCTTGTGAACGACAAAAGTTATCATCCGATCTGTATGAAATTACTATGCATTATTTGAATTAGTAAAACGAAAAAGCCTGTCGAATTTCAACAATTTCTGTAAATTACTTCTTGCGTTATGGCCCTTATTTTAGTTTTTAGAACCTTGTGAACCCTCAGATGACGAAAATTTTTAATGTCATCGGTATGAAATTGTCTATTAAATGCCCCTAATTACCTACAAAAGAATAAATATGTGACAACCCTTGTCGACCGCTCGGACGATTTAGCTGCTGTGGGCGTATGTTTTGTTGCCTGGCAAGCTATCTTTTGTTAATTGTGTCCTGCCGTTCGAAGAAAGCAGGGCCCGGCCAGGGGACTATTAAACTGGGCCCTTCTGTCGTCCATCCATCCGTCACACTTTTTGGGACACAATAACTCTCATTCTAATTAAGTTAGAATGTTCAAACTTGGTATAGGTGTTTATTAGATCAATGCCTTGATGGAGTTCGAAGATGAGCATTATATCATTACCATGACTAAGTTTGATGAGAATTTTATGCGTAGGCTAAGCAATTTGATTGGTCAAGACTTTGGAACATAACAACTCTGCATTGGGACAAGATAACTTTGATTCTATTCAATAGAGTGATGAAACTTAGTGTATAGTTGATAATCAGTTTGATTGCTTGATACTTTTGAAAAAACTAAATGTGCTATTAACTAATATGTGTCATCTATTTATTTTACTGTTGGCTTGTATTTAGTCTGTAAATTTGGCCAAACAAACGCAACGCCTAGCCTTCTTTACCTTTTGTCATATTACAGTCATTGCAGCCATTTCATATGTCATTCTCTTCATTTTAAAAAGTGCCATATCAATCAAAGCAGTATATTGCAGTGTTAGCGATGCTCTCGTTTTCTTTTGTCAGTAATGAAAACATTTACAACATACTAAATTTTAAATTTGATCACCAGTAACAACCCATTAAGTAGGCTAATTATCAGAAATCATCAGAATTTTTTTGGCTTTTAGTTCTGCCCTATACTAATGTTTAGTGTACAAAATATTTAATATCAAGGGCAATAACTCTGGAAGTGATTTAGAAATTGTTGAAAATCAATAGGCCTCTTCATCTCATGACCTTAAACATTGTGTATAAATTTGAAGTCAATTGGATTATTATCTTTAGCTTCTAGAGCGTCACAAGATTTTTCAAAGTGATAAAACGGCCATAACTTTGGCAGTAATTATCGGATATTGTTGCAAATCAATAGGCTTCTTCATCTCATGACCTCAAACACTGCGTATAAATTTAAACTTTAGCCTATAGAGCCCACAAGATTTTTCAAAGTGATCAAGGGCCATAACTTTGGCAGTAATTATCGGATATCGTTGAAATCAATAGGTTTCTTTATCTCATGACCTTAAACACTGTGTATAAATCTATAGTCAATTGGATATTCACTTTAGCCTCTAGAGCGTCCACAAGATTTTTCAAAGTGAACCAGGTCCATAACTCTGGCAGTAATTATCCGAAATCGCTGAAAATCAATAGTCTTTCTCGTCTCATGACCTTAAACACTGTGTATAAATTTAAAGTCAATCGGATATTAACTTTAGCCTCTAGAGCATCCACAAGATTTTTGTAAGTGATCAAGGGCCATAACTCTGGTAGTAGTTATCAAAAATTGCTGAAAATGAATAGACTTCTTCGTCTCATGACCTTAAACACTGTGTATAAATTTAAAATCAATCAGATATTAACTTTAGCCTCTAGAGCATCCACAAGATTTTTCAAAGTGAACAAGGGCCATCGGATATCGTTGAAATCAATAGGTTTCTTTATCTCATGACCTTAAACACTGTGTATAAATCTATAGTCAATTGGATATTCACTTTAGCCTCTAGAGCGTCCACAAGATTTTTCAAAGTGAACCAGGTCCATAACTCTGGCAGTAATTATCCGAAATCGCTGAAAATCAATAGTCTTTCTCGTCTCATGACCTTAAACACTGTGTATAAATTTAAAGTCAATCGGATATTAACTTTAGCCTCTAGAGCATCCACAAGATTTTTGTAAGTGATCAAGGGCCATAACTCTGGTAGTAGTTATCAAAAATTGCTGAAAATGAATAGACTTCTTCGTCTCATGACCTTAAACACTGTGTATAAATTTAAAATCAATCAGATATTAACTTTAGCCTCTAGAGCATCCACAAGATTTTTCAAAGTGAACAAGGGCCATAACTCTGGCAGTAATTATCGGAAATCGCTGAAAATCAATTTGGATATCAACTTTAGCCACTAGAGCGGTCACATGCAATTGTGGAGGCCGGACCGACCAAGGGATGCGGGCGATAACAATATACGATCACATTTCATAGTGGGCGTATAAAAAGTAATCAGAACTGCTGTATCACCTCAGTGGAAGCAGAAGTTAAATAAAGCTATTTCACACATTAAATAACCATGCATTAGGTTAGGATTGATCACTCTTACTAGTCTTACTAACATTTATACTAATATGTCTTTTGATAAAACTACTTTTCAATGTGTATTGAATGGAATTAAATTATTTAATTAAAGATGCATTATGTAAGAGGTAGATCTGCCTATTGCAGGTCTTTCTTTTGGCTTCAAATTATTAATTAGACATTTTATCACATGACTAGCCCATAATCAACTCTCTAGCTCATCGGATGGTTGTGATTTGGAATGTATGGATTGGAACACATTTGCCATTTAAATTTAATTTAAAATGAATATTCAAGACTTTGTTTATTATTGTTACAATGGTAGCAATGAAAATCAAGACTACACTGTTCATCTAATGGCTATTCTAATGCTTAGAATGAAGTAATTTGAATGAAATTTTCAAAATATTCTTTTTTTCATTATAGATCTTTAAACTATTATAGCTAGAACTGTCAGCTCTTTATCTTATTCTTGCATAATGCATCTGTAAATAACATAATTAGAATAGATTAAATACATTGATTTTTTTTTCTCAGATATTAAAATGAAGGAACAGACAATAGAAAATTTAATGAAGTAAGATTTGCTTTTGTATTGATTTATTCATTGTATAGTTTGTCACCCACATACATTGTATGGTCATATACACCAATATCCATCAGCTTTTTCCAAAATTTACTTGAGCTTTTCTATTGAATTTTATCTTACAGAGGTAAAAAAACCTATGAACCCCCCCGTTTTATGACTGTAGCACAGGCCTGTCAACAGTTAATGGAAATTATTCTAAAGAAACAAGAAGAGGGAGAAGAATTATGTATGAACTTTTTTATACGCCCACATTTTCATGTGGACTTACATTGTCGTCGCCCCTGTCTGTTCATCTGTCCGTCCACAATTGTTTGTGAACACTCTACAGGTCACAATTTTTATCCTATTTCAATGAAACTTGAAATATAGGTTTATCACACTTAAGATCTCGGTTCCTTTCTATATTCGCACATATCTGATTGTAACTTCCTGAATTATGGCCTCTGATTATACGAAAAATCAAGTTTTTAGCTTGTGGTCCCTCTAGAGGTCACAATTATTATCCGATTTAAAAAAACGTTCAATTATATCACTGTTACACCGTAATGTTTGTTGAGTTCAAATTTCGTGGACCCTCTAGAGGTCACAATTTTGATCCGATTTCGATGAAACTTGAAATACATGTTTATAACCCAAAGATAATGGTTCCTTTCGATATTCGCGCAGATCGGATCATAACTTCTTGAATTATGGCCCTTGATTGAACAAAAATGGCTGCTCTTTGTACGCAAATTGTGTAAAAGTGTGTAATACGAAGGTTGTGGACCCTCTAGAGGTCACAATTTTCATCTGATTTTGATGAAACTCAAAACATATCTTTATATCCCAAAGATCTCAGTCCCTTTTGATATTTGCACATTTCAGGCCATAACTTGGATTATTGCCCCTGATTGTACAAAAAATCGTATTTGTTTTTAGCTTGTTCTCTATCCCTCTCTTGCAAAATGTGGGCGTATCCTGCCTGGCAGCCGCTGACACTAAAATTGTTGTTTTATGGTTTTATGTTGTTGTAAGTCTCTCCACTACTTTATGTCTATGCAAGTTAGAATAATAGTTTTTATACGCCCACATTTTCATGTGGACGTATTATGCCGTCGCCCCTGTCCGTCCGTCCGTCCGTCCACAATTTGTTTGTGGACACTCTACAGGTCACAATTCTTATCCGATTTTGACGAAACTTGAAATATAGGTTTATCTCCAAAAGATCTCGGCTGCTTTAGATATTGGCATGTATCGGTCACAATTTTTATCCGATTTTGTTGAAACTTGAAATGTAAGTTTATAACTTCGATATTCGCGCATATCAGACCGTAACTTCTTGAATTATGGCCCCTGATTGTACGAAAAATCGCGTTTTTAGCTTGTGGACCCTATAGAGGTCATAATTTTTATCCGATTTAAAAAACCATAGTATTATATCACCGTTACACCCTAAGGACGACTGAGTTCGAATTTCGTGAAAATCGGCCCAAAACCGACAGACAAAATGGCCGCCGTTCGTTCTCTAATAGCGTAAAAATATGGTATATCAAGGTTGTGGAATCTATAGAGGTCACAATTTTTATCCGATTTTGTTGAAACTTGAAATGTAAGTTTATAACCCAAAGATGTTGGTTCCTTTTGATATATTCGCGCATATCGGACCGTTACATTATGAATTATGGCCCCTGATTGTACGAAAAATCACGTTTTTAGCTTGTGGACCCTATAGAGGTCATAATTTTTATCCGATTTAAAAAAAATGTATTATTATATCACCGTTACACCCTAAGGACGACTGAGTTCGAATTTCGTGAAAATCGGCCCAAAACTGACAGACAAAATGGCCGCCCATCGTTCTCAAATTGCGTAAAAATATGGTATATCAAGGTTGTGGACCTTATAGAGGTCACAATTTTTATCCGATTTTGTTGAAACTTGAAATGTAAGTTTATAACTCAAAGATCTTGGTTCCTTTCGATATTTGTGCATATCGAATTGTAATTTCCTGAATTATGGCCCTTGATTGTAGGAAAAATCACTTTCGTTTTAGCTTGTTTTCTATCCATCTCTCGAAAATGTGGGCGTATCCTGTCTGGCAGCCGCTGGTTTATATTTAGGGGGTCCACCGCAGTCTGCAAAATTCTGACAGTAACCCCTCTTCAAATAATGCATTTTATGAGAAATGCAGTTTATTAATGTAATTTTGTTTGTTTTCAGAAAGGATTATTGGCCATACATCTTTAGATTACCGGATCAAGCAGTAGACATTTGATTTAAGTGAACTAAACCTAGTAAACAATCATAAATTATGCATCTATGAGACCATAAACTTACTATAGGGTAATGGATGAAAATAAACAAAATTTGTGTTAAATGTAATAAATTCATTTTTATACGCCCACATGGAAATGTGGACGTATATTTCCGTCACCCCCGTCCGTCCGTCCGTCCGTCCGTCCATCGTCCATAATTTCCAAAAGTTATCATCCAGTTTTAAAATTGATATATGTTGTGTAGATTATTGAGATGAAGAAGCCTAATTATGTAAAATAGTTGTACGTCCGTACTCTATATTTAGGATAACTCGATGTCGGTCAAACCATTGTCCAGGTAACCTATTTAATATATATTAGTATATAAGTAAAACAATGGGTCTTTGTATTCAGTCCCTCTAATGATTGATGATGATGCAATCAGTCAGTTCTCACCTTTTGATCTGGACCTCAATATTTTTAATGACCACTCGATGTCCTCCGGTCATTGTGATGATTTGAATTGACCTGGTACCTATATAAGGCCAGAGGTGGGATAGATTCCACACTACCGAGCTGCAGACCTAGGTATTCGAATACAGCAGACAAATATGAGAACCGTCAAGTAAGAAGTACTATTGTTATAGAAGATATTATTACTGTAAAGTATATCCTATATTATAAAAAGAACCTGGTTTATTATTTTTACCCTCTCCTGTACTACATTTAATTTAAATAATTTCCGTTTATTACGTCTAGTTATGGCCCTTGTTTCACTTTGTTGAACCTTGCGAACGCTTTAATGCCAAAAGTTAACATCTGATCTATGTGAAATTTATATGCAATATTTAAATTAGGGAAACGAAGAAGCCCATTGAATTTCAGCAATTGTGCAACGGTGCGTTTTCTGTAGAGGTGTGTTAATTAACCGACCGGTAAAAAATGAATGTCAATGTTGTGTATTATTTAATTTAAAGGAGTATAATCAAGGACCAACAGGCTTTATCAGTCACGTACGTGTTAAATCAAAATTTGGAAAGTAAAACTGTTTTACCGTGCGATTTATCATTTGACCGTATGTTTTATGCAGGTCTTTGTATAATTAAAGACAGGTCTTTAGATAGAGGGACAGGTCTTTAGATAGGGGTGTGTGCTCGCTATGATCTACGGTTCTCTTATGTGTCTTTTATATTGCGTACCATTTATATAAAGTTGCATTTAATGAAATAAAAATATGAACCTTAATCTATTGTATACGGAAAGGCGAATTTAATGTCATTTATAAATACCCAGCAGTCAGCGCACAATATGAATATCCATGGGAATATAGAGAGTAAATCCAGCAAAAACTATTTTTTCTACTACCGAAATATATTTCTGCTTTATTACTAAAAAGACGCGCACTCACCGTTTCACATTTATTTATAAAAACGTGCCACGATGCGTAAATTGTGCATCTAACCTTCAATAGCAATATCCATAAAACAAATCTCCATATTGATAAATAATACAATACAACCAACCGACCAGTGGTAATTCCCACACAAATGATATATTTAAACTAAAATTACTTTAGCTTTTCACTAAATTTACATCGCGTACAATCCAACGATCCTCATTCCAGAACTTGTGACTTATAATAGCCGTTTTTATGCAATTACAGAATTGTCCCGTGATATTACAGATCAAAGAAACACATACGCCCGAATTGACACATAATTATTTTCGAGGCTTGTCTTCTATTCTTACGACTATAATTGGCTTTTATACTGTGTACCATATGGTCACGCTTGCATTTAATAAAATAAAAATATTGAGCTTACTCTATAGATATGTGCAACATCGTAAACTAAATGGTAGATTATTCCATAAAACAGGTACGCCTGTATCAAGAGATAGTTTGCTACTGGTTGCAGTAAAATTTACTATACATGTTTCTATGTAGTCTATTTACATGCCATAAAAGTTTAACCGTAAATTACCTAATTTTTCATTTTGCACGATTTTTTAAGTTTGAAAAAACAGTCTATTAATAAGTCTCTAAACAAAATTAACAACCATAATTTAGACAGCAAATTCTAATACACATTTTGGTTGAAATAAATAATCCATGTAGCTTATTTATTAGTTTATTACTTTATGGCCTAATCAAGTATCAATACGCCACATATATAATTTGTTACGTAACATCTATATAGGTCAACGTTTTCAAACATTCTGATCAATCAACTATGACAAAAAGATGACAATACTTTTCCCCATTTTGACTGTATATACAGTATACTGGTGCAGTAATTGAATTTTAAAAAATGATTAGAAATATAGACGATGTTATCGAAGAACTATTTAAATGTTCACATCACATCCCAATTAATCATATCGTCTAGTTCTATCGGGAGCAGATCTTTTCTAGTACTTTACTAGTATTGTATGAAGATGTCCTTATTTCTCTTTAATTCTTTAAATGACATGTAGAAGCACGGTTAACTATTCATAACAAAACACAACACAAGGTATATGGATATAACTACTTCTCTAATATTTATTAACCAGGTTTCGTAACACATACAGGTCACGTTTTCAAGTTAATGATAAATATCCATCTAGTCAGCCTATTTATACATATTTTGGCTTAGACCAACTTAATTAATAATCAGAAGAAACCATTAAAATAATTAGAATCACCTACAATAACAATAAATAATACTAACAATAATAATAACTGTCCCTTAGTAGGATAATAACAGATAATCAGTACTAAAGATCAATGAACAACCTTAATAGGGTTGCACCATATCGCATCTTAATCAGACCAGCATTAATAATAACTGTTAACTTAGAACTAGGCAGTAATAACAAAAATATAATATGTTAAAAACTACTTTGATCTGATAAAAGGGTGAGAAAATTTTCAAAAACTAGAAACATCAAGTGATTTCTATGATCTATTGATGAAAATGCCTTATATGGTAGAAATTTGAAGACACAAATAATAACTTGTTGGAAGACGAGATTAAGAATATTTACGAGAATAAGCATATTTACGAGAGTAAGTATATTTACGAGAATCAGTATATTTACATACGGCAAATTTGACTTATTCGTTATACCCCCGATTCAAATTGGGGCCTACCTGTTTGATATTTATAAATGATGACATTGCATTTTGTGCGATAGATTAAGGTCAATATTTTTATTTTATTAAATGCAACTTTATAAGAAGCGTGACCATAAGGTACGCAGTATAAAAGCCAATTATAGTCGTAAGAAGGGCGTATGTGTTTCTTTGATCTGTAATTTCACGGGACAATTCTGTAATTGCATAAAAACGGCTATTATAAGTTACAAGTTCTGGAATGAGGAACGTTGGGTTGTATGCAATGTAATTTAATGGAAAACTAAAGTAATTTTAGTTTAAATATATCATTTGTGTGGGAATTACCACTGTTCGGTTGGTTGTGTTGTATTATTTATCAATATGGAGATTTGTTTTATGGATATTGCTATTAAAGGTAGGATGCACAATTTACGCATCGTGGCACATTTTTATAAATTTAATAAATGTGAAACGGTGAGTGTGCATCTTAGCTGAAATATAGTAGAAAAAATAGTTTTTGCTGGATTTACTCTCTATATTCCGGTAGATATTCATATTGTGCGCTGACCGCTGAGTATTTATAAATGACGACATTAGATTCGCCTTTCCGTATACGATAGATTACGGTTCATATTTTTATTTCATTAAATGCAACTTTATATAAATGGTACGCAATATAAAAGACACATAAGAGAAACGTAGATCATAGCGAGCACACACCCCTATCTAAAGACCTGTCTTTAATTATACAAAGACCTGCGTAACACATACGGTCGAATGATAAATCGCACGGTAAAACAGTTTTACTTTCCAAATTTTGATTTAACACGTACGTGTCTGATAAAGCCTGTTGGTCCTTGATTATACTCCTTTTGGTGCAGTTATCGCAACTAGCGAGAAAACATGCCAATTAAACAATACACAACATCGACATTCATTAACACACCTCTACAGAAAATGCATCGTTGCACAGTTTTTCACCCCTAGAGTTAATTAACTCACCTCTCAGACAGTTTTCCACCCTTGTTAATTAACGCACCTCATTTACAATTTAAACGCGGTAATACCGAGTAATAGTCGGGAAATTAATTTTCTTTCGATAGACGTATAGATAATGCCCAAGACATAATTTTCTATAAGGGCTGTGCACAGATTGACCTCTTAGTAGTTCTCAGTGTAAATTAGTAAAAGGAAAAAGCCTGTCAAATTTCAACAATTTCTGTAGATTACTTCCAGAGTTGAGACCCTTGTTTCGGTTTGTAGTACCTTGTGAACCCTCAAACGGCAAAAATTATAATCTGATCTGCATGAAACTGTCTTGTAAAGGCCCCCAATTACCTACAAAGGAATAAATATGTGACAATCCTTGTCGACCGTTCGGACGATTTAGCTGCTGTGGGCGTATGTTTCATTGCCTGGCAACCTATCTTAAAAATTATATGTTGATAGAATTATATACAGAAACCGGATTGTCATAAGGCACTTATTTACACCGACACAGTTGAGTTCTATAATATACGGCCTAGTTTAAAATCTCATAAATATCTTGTTTTCAGATTTTCATTTTCGCATATTTGGGAGTACTTTTCTATCGGTTTCAACTATCTACGGGACGTTTTGGTAATGTTTTTCGGACATAGCAGCATACAAGGAATCTGAACTTACGCTAACTCCTCTTTCAGCCCCATCATTTACAACACTGAGCGACGATACAGTGTGTAAAGATATCTTAAACGATTCAGAATGTTGCCATTCTGTTACATTCAATTCTTTAAAGTCAGATTCAACCAAGATTCATTAGTTATCAAATCGACTAACTTGGTGGATTCTGTGATTTTCGGAAACTGTGGAATATTTTAAAATGGCTTTATAAAACCTCAAATCATTCTAGGGGGAATCGATGGGGATTGTACATGTCATTCACCACCTAGAGTATAGAAGTGTTACAAAGTTCACGAAATCCCACAATTTGGGGACTTGACTGGAGGTAATTATAGGGCGTCTTTGACTGAGATAATTGCAGCACCTCAGCTTGCTTATCAGTTACAATGGCAGGTAAACTGTTGATGTCAAAAAGTTTCAACTGTTCCTGGTTGTCA